GAAGTAAGAGACGCCTCGCAAAAATCTTTTTTTCTTCTAGCCTCAAGACTTTGGTATTCTTTATTGCTGTTTTCAGACAGAATGTCCATCATTGTTGCCCGTTGGTCCTCGTACAGCTTACAGTCCCAGAAGATATGTCACTCCGTGTGCGGCCATCACCACATTCGCATTCGGCCGTGGTCACAATATTAAATCTGTTTAGGCTTGCTTTAAGACTGGAGTGACCTGCTTGCATACGGTTTATTGACACGAAGGACTGGAGTGACCTGCTTTCATACGGTTTATTGACACGAAGGCACGGCGGTTCATTTTTATCCCGCGGAACAATTACGTTGGGCAGACCACACGACACCCTATATCCACAAAAGTTGGCACTAATTTCACCGACAAGCGGCCGTCGATTGGTCGGTGTAGTTCGCTTATGGACTAAAGGCCACGGAGGAAGGAAAAATGCGGTCTTCTGAGTTGTAACGCAATGCAGTTAGGAGCCAGCAGAACATTTTGGAGGGACTTATTGCTTCCACCTTCAGGGACGAAGAGTAACGCAAGCAAGAAACCTGTAGAAGCAAGCAGCACATTGCTCTGAACACAAACATCAGCCCTCTTGCCCATGTTTCAAGAGACGTGTATTACAGCTTCTGCCATGACGCTGCAGGAGGAATTTTAGTTCTTGTATGCTTCTTGCACAGTTTTAGCACACGCGTCCCTTAAGAAGTCTTCATATAAAATGTTTAGGGGATCCCGAAAATACGGCTACCGAGCTCTGAGATATGAAATATAGGCTTATATAATGTTGTGTATGCTTTCACGTGGATCACTCCGTATTTTCTCCTCCCGGTTGGGCATTGCAAATCTCTTCAAATGCTGCCCATACTGCAGATAATGCAAGGAAATAAATTAATAAAAAATGTGTCAACCAGTGATTTGTAAAGCTGATTAAAGCTACGTGGTACATAAAGAGTATTCTCTCGAACTTATAGAAATTTGTTTAATTATTCTGACACACTATTATGTTAGGAAGTGCAACATGTGCAGTATTCTGCGAAAACGAATGAAGGCAGGGGGAAGTGATTGGAAGGCGCACATAAATAGAATGCCACCTGACAGTATGCATCCACTACCACAGAAGCTATACAAAAATGGCCGTAAATTAGGTCTACATTTGAAGAAAATTACCCTATAAAATGTGACTTATAAGACTAGAATTCTACCAGCTACATTCTTAAGTAGTGTGAAATATTTCCCCGTTGTCCTTTATGGGCCCGTCTCCTGTCCCCATCTCGGGTTTTGACTATCCCCACACATTCTTCGAGACCTGCTTCTTTTCGTCTGCATAACCTGCTACTTTCCTAACTTGGCTCACTTCTACCCTGATGATGGAGACAGTACGTTCTGCCGAAACGAGACTACAACATTGTGTCATGACCCAGGAGGCCGCAAAATTTGTACTTGAAAAGAACAGCAGAAATTGAAGATATCTGAAAATAACCGTAGGAGCTGAGAGAATTGCATATGCAGTTTTTTTTATAATTTGCGTTGTTTTTTTAGGTGATTACATAAAGGGTTACTTGGATGAAGAGCTGGGGCATGTCACAAAGGCCGTGGAAAGTGGTAAAGTTGTTCCTGGGCTTGACTAAGCACAAAGCCGTGTAGACGCATGGAGTATAAACGTCTACTTTTAGTTCCACGTACTCGCATTCATGGCAATGGATAGAATTGAGAGGCCAGCTTCGAACTGACGCCGCTTTAATTCCTTCGGGAATAGCCCCTGGTACCCGTTCGAAGGCAGGAAGGGTAAACGCAGAATACACATTTTTCACTTCAGTCATCTTGCCTGTAGAGGATACTGCTATACCAACTGAACTGCTGACACCGGATAATAAGTTTAGTTACGTATGCAACGTAAGACGTCAGCACAATACGCTTCTCGTAATCAAGGCCCAGTGTAGCCAACGTAGCTGGTTTTCAACTAACTGTCGTTGTGTAAGGCCATACGCTTAATTACACGGTTTTAATTTTAGATATTAACGTTGTAAATTGGATTAAAAGTGAATGACCTTTTCTACTCCTACGAATTTCTAACAATTGTTAATTATAAATTCTAAAGGGTTCTGAAGATGGTGGATAACACACAGAAGTACTGGGTTTTTGGACTCTCTACCTCCTTTTCTATTCTAGTTCCACGCATGTGCTTGCTCTATCACACTTTTTATTTTATGGTTTCCTTTTATCTCCCGTTGAACTAGCCTAAATACTATATGGTGAAATAGCTGGGTAAATCTGGGATGAATTGTTCAGTGATTGAGATTAGCTGTTCTTCAGAGGGATAATTGAGTAGGTGTCTTCCTTCCTCACCCAAAAACGGAAACACATATAGTTCCCTAAACGTCGTGTTTCTTATTTCTAGAATTCTGGACCCTGAAAGGCCTCAATACTTGTGCAAGTAGATTGTACTTTTATGGCCCGTTCCTTGTCAACGTCGTTATTTATAGTGTAAATAGGCCTTTACACCTTTCCAATCTGCTTTAAATAAAAACAGGACGATGTATAATGTTAATGTACAATTGTCACAAACTTTTACTTTCAAATCATCTTTCGGAATGATATGAGAAATTGATCTGTGGTCATGATCGTTCACGGTTGCGTATTGACAGGTACAGACTACGCTGCCCTCTATCCATTACAGTACTGAATTACCGTTTGGAGCGGGTTCGGAGTATAGATTTGAAAGGACAAACGTGCCTGAAGATTTACTGCAAATTTAAATTACCCCTTACTGCGAGATGCGCACTGAATTTCAAATAGGCGGAAAGATGGTATATCATTATAATGGGATTAGTGTCTAACTGAAATAAGATATTCGTTTTTTTACTTTACCACACCGTTTTCTGCAGAAAAAGAAAGCATGGATAATGAAACAATATCTAATTCTTTACCTGAAAGTGAAATTCCACCAAACACAGTGTAAGCCAACAGAAGTTTTATTACTTTATTCTGAACATGACAGCCACAGAATGCAAAATGCAGAACAGTATCTGCTCTGCCATGCTCTGAGCCATGGGCAGCAAAATCTTGGAATACATACAAACAGATTTATGTATACAGTTAAAGTTCATGATGCAATCATAAAGCTTACAGAAGGATGTTTTTAGTTCTGTTAGTACATTTCAATAACCTGTTGGATTAAATTTGGAGTTTATCTTCCTAAAAAAATAGTAATATAATGCAAATATCTCCAGTGTTGATCTGACTTTGCATTCCACTTTTTGCGGTCTGTATGCAATGACAGTTACTGTCCACTCATCTTTTCTCTGTTGTACATCACTACATGTTTTGGACCAACCAGCCATCATCAGGTGTACAGGTTGTTGTTACGAAGAAATCTGCTGCTCACTGTAACACTGTTCTGTTTTTCATTTGGACTAATTCTAGGTTATGTTGGTTAACAGCCTCTTGCCATGTTTGCCTTATCTGTAATATGTTATGGGTTATATTAGAGTTTTATTTTAAGGTACATATTTAAGCATAATTAGACTCTGCATACCTGATGTTACTTACGGTTTTGTTAGATTGTTCATTTATCTTTGGTTAATATCACATCCAGTGTTTGTTGCTGGGAAAGATGGTACCAGCACATTTATCAGTTTTCCAAAGACCTTACTGGTTGCTGTCTTTCATGTATTTTCATTACTTCTATATGAGAATAAACTGACTTAAATCATCTTTACACATTTTTCACTTAATACCAGGTTCTGTAACATATCTACAATATCTATTTAGATGGCCGTGCCATAGCTCAAGCAGTTAGTCGCTGGCTTCCCACCGCGGTGTCCCGGGTTCGATCCCGGGTCTGGTCAAGTGGGATTTGTGGTGGACAAAGTGGCACTGGGGCAGATTTTCTCTGAATACTTCGGTTTCCCCTGCCAATCTTCATTCCATCAATTGCTCAACAATCACCCTCACCTATCATCTGGGGCTGGTACAATAGGCCAGAAGTGGCGACAGCACAAGGGACTTAGTCCCGCACCACTAGCAATAAAAAAAATAATATCTATTTAGATCTTGACTCTGATAAATGCCAGCTGTCAAGTTTTCAAATATGAAATAACTCCCCTTCATGTGTACAGTGAGATCCAGGACAGAGGAAAATCAGGGAAGTAATGTTATATGATATCCATCCCAAGAAGATGAACAGGGAAGATAGTTTCTCCTTGAACAGCTCATGAAGCCTGAAGGAAGGAAAGAAGGTTCTCTCTGAGGACAGACTTAACTTACCTTCCCTCTGAAGACTCCGGCAAGAGCTTTGCATAGCTAAGGGCCTTCATCTTCTCCATGCCTGGCTTCTGAGTGGCCATTCCTCACCGTGGTTTAATCCTCTTCCCTACAATCCCATTTTGACTCATCTCTACTCTGATAATGGGAGGCAGCAAACCCCAATGCTCTGGGCTGAAGAAGCTGAAATGCATATGAAATTTAAGCTTTATATAACAGTATAAATTTATGTTGGATCTGAGGTTCTCATGGCAGTGACTGTGAAGAGTACCGTCTCCTGCGATGTGATGTTATGCAGCCTGGTGGAAGTCTACAGCTACTGCTTCCATCTTCAGAATCAAAGAGTAAGCCAAGCAACTAACCAGCAGAAGGAAATAGCTCTTTGCTTGGTTTACTCTTCAACCCTGAAAATGGAGACAGTATGGTCCACTGAACTGTTTCTGAACTTCTTTCAGACTATGAAGAAAGCAGTCTTCTGGGATTTGGCACTGTGTATATGTGGTGTTAACCGACGTTCCTCCAAAATGACGGTTAATACCACATATACACGGTGCCAAATCCCGGAAGACTGCTTTCTTCATAGTCACCGCCGTGAAAGCCTCAAATCTTTCTTTCAGACTACATTGTATCATGTCCCAGGAGACAGTAATCTTCACTGTAAATTTAGAGTTTAGTCTTCCAAGTAATGACATATCATCACATAGGTCATTATTACAAATACACACACATACACAGGATGAGCGCAGATGATCTTTATAATTTTGGAAATTTTAGACATTAAACTACAATTGTCAAAGGTTATTTGACAACTTGGGGCTCTTCAATATGTGCACAATTGGTAAATCTATACACAACAAGATAGTGTTCCAGTTTCATAAGTATCTTTTGCAGCAGAGGCAGCTTCCCCTTTACATAAACAACCTATCTCATGGAACTGTTTGTAAAATGCATAAATGGATGGCTTAGAAGGTGGATCCACACAAAATTGTGTTTGGTAGTGCAACTGCACTTGTTTCACACATTTGGTTATGTTAACCAATAGAACACACTTCACTCTTTTGGACTTGTTGCCATTTTCCTGATTGCAGTGCCTCTAGTGGAAAATCTTTGTAACTGCACATGCACACTTTGATTCAAAACTTCAACAGTTTTAGTCTAATGTCAGAAAGTTCAGATATACTATCTTGTCTGATTGTTTCACAGTAAATTTCTCAATATTTGTGGTTTTTGCAACAAACAGTACATATGTATGTACATAGAGTTAATTGCAAATATTGTTTGTGTGTCTTTTTGTGTGTGTGTGGATGCGTGCATGCATCTGCGATGTTATTAAGATACAATCTTTGCATTTATATGTGCAACATGAAAAGTACCCAGTGTACCCAGACATTGAGGTTAGCTCTCTCTCTAAGGGACCCAGTTGAGTAGAAGCCTCCTCACCCTTTCACCTAACGACAGAAACAGGTCTAGTTTCCTGAACCTTGTATTCTTTCAAAATCTGATGGACAAGTTGCAGAAGCTCAGTAATCCTATCTGTAATTTACCATTGACAGAATCCTTGAGAACTGAACAAATCTATGAAGCACACTTTCAGGTTTATAAACTGAATGGTGTACCACTGCCCCCTGAGTTAACATTTTGGGATTAGACATGTGACAGAAGCAATCCCCTTTTTGCTAACCACAATATGTAAATGTGTCTTATGACATATTTTGAAGAACATGGCATTAAATTGTATGTAACCAGTGATGATGCTGTGTGCCATCTTGTAACGAGTGAAGTAATTTCTTGCAGAAAACATCATAATTATTTAACTTTAAATAATAAAAAGTAATATTTACTGTCTGCATTCTGCAGGTTATTGTCAGCCTTAAGAAAGAAACTCCAAGACCCAGCAGTCCCACGTTTAACTTGGCAACTTTCATCATGTCCTACCAAAGGAGAAAGTGACAATTCAGGATATGACAGTGACTCAAGTGCCACATTCTGTTCTGCTCTTGAGCCTGTGAGTGACAAGGGACTTGACACTATTACCCATACATCAGAACATCAGGCAATCCATAATGATCAGAATAAAGAACAAGCCAGTTCACTTATGGAAACAGACACACAGGAGATGGATAGTGATCATATGATTTTTAATACAACAGAAAACAATTATGATAATCTCATAAAAGTGGATGATAACAAAGGTTCCTTTCCTAATTCTCCAATATTTCATGACATGAGTGCAGACTGGAGCCATTTAATTAACTCAATTCTTAGTAATAACAGTACAGACAATAATTTTATGACAACTGCAGATACAGAAAATTGTCAAGATATTCCTGTCAATACAAACAGAGAAGCTGTTGTTGCAAGTAACCTCACAGCTGATGATGCGCTGTCACTCTGCGGTGTGCAAGTGAATTCAGCAGAAACTCACTCGGACAGCACAGCCATTATAGCAGATTCAGTGGCCTTGTCTGCTGATATATTTGCAAATTCTAGTTTTATCATGGAACCCAAAGACTGTGGATCCAAGAACAGCCTTGTTGCTAATGAAAAAGATGGAGTTACAGTCAAAAGCATACAACCACAAACAGACGATGAAATTGTGGAAATTGGAAAGACACTGTTTCAGACTCTGAATATTGTGTCAACAGACAGCACAAGTGCATCCTCGTCTGCCTCAACAAACAGTGGTAAAGATAAAACGAAAATGTACAACATACACAAATTTCAGAATCTTGCCTCTGTTCATAGAGAAAGGATAGATCAGATGGGCAAGAAGCTCAGAGGCAGAAATAGATTTCATGGGAAGGAGGCAGATTCTAATGCCAAAAGACAAGGACAAGGCAAGTTCTCAAGCATGGAAAAGCTTCACAGTGGTCATCAAAAGAAAACAGCTAATCAAAGAAAGTCTGAATCAAAAGCAAACAGTCCCCACAACAGGAACAAGAGATTCAGAAAACAAAGAGGTAAGGCTACAGTTAACACCAGAAATAAAACAAGTCAACCTTAGCATTTAATGTCCAGTTCTATGCAAGAGTATGACCATTGGATTGCCACTTTCTGGACTCTGTGTAGTAAAGTACAGTGTTGCTATCACTTGGCTTCCTATTGGTGTAATATGATTGCACTCTTATGTGATTTGTATGCATTTTTTGCATGAAATTTATAAAACAAATGTATATTGGGAAGGTCACATCATCAGCCCTCATTCCACAGTTTTCATCTCCAGAGCTGTCAGCACATTTCAAATAAATTTTATATTGGGAATCTAAACTAAAACTTTTCCATGTTAGGTGGGTCCCTTGTCACCATGGTATGGTGCATCCTTGGGTTGCAGATGGAGGAGACACCTCCAGGTATGGAGGGTAGCTGCAAAAATATCCGAACAAGCAGACATGGACAGCCAACAAGGGGTGGTCCTCCAGCTTGGGCATGGGGCTAACATCTCCTTGCCATATAAAAAAGCTTGTTACAAAAATTTGCAAGAAGCCTCAGACCTGAATGGATTCCTTGGATAAACAACTATAGCAAAAGAAAATGGATATGAGATTTGGTACTTGGAATGTTAGAAGTATGTATAGGGCAGTGGTAGAAGATATCTTAAAATATAGGGTAGATTTAGTGGGAGTACAGGAGGTCAGATGGGTTTGAGGTGGCACTGAATCAGCAGGCAAATATACATTTATCTATGGAAATGGGAATGAAAATCATGAATTAGGTAAGGTTTTTTCATACATAAGAGAATCGTATCAGCAGTCAAGAGGGTAGAGTTCATTAGTGATAAGAAGTTATACATAATACTAAGAGGTTGCTGGTGTTATATCATCATTCAGAATGTTCATGCCCCAACAGAAGATAAAATTGATGACATGAAGTATAGGGTCTGCAAAGAACTAGAACATGTATTTAATAAATTCCCAAAGTACCATACGAAAATTCTATTAGGAGATTTCAATGCCAAAATAGGGAGGGAAGATATTTTCAAACCAACAATTGGGAATGGGAGTTTGCACAAAATTAGTAACGATAATGGAGTTAGAGTAGCAAACTTTGCCACATAAAAAAATCTTATGGTCAAAAGTACAATGTTCCCACATCGTAACATTCATAAATTTACTTGGACATCTTCTGGTGGGAAGACACACAATCAAATCGACCATATTTTGATAGATAGGAGATGGCACCCAAGTATACTTGATGTCCAATCATTCAGGGCAGCAGATTGTGATACTGACCACTACCTCGTTGTGGCAAAGGTTAGGGAAAGACTGGCAGTGAGCAAAAAAACACACAGTTGTTCATATGAAGTGGTTCAATCTCAATAAATCAATCGAGGGAGGGTAAAGAGAAGTATCATGTTGAAATCTCAAATAGGATGCTCAAAATTATTAGACCAAAGAAAACAAGCCAAATTGCAATGCTTACAGGACCCAAGCAAAATAAATGGGGATAATCTGAACAATATAAAGAGTGAATCCTGCAGGCATTTCAGGAATAAAAAGAGGGAATATCTGAAAGACAAAATTGATGAGTTTGCAATGAATAGTAAGAACAAGAACATTAGAGACATGCATAAAGCAATAAATTACTTTAAGAGGGGTTACCAACCTAGAAGTAACTTAGTGAAGGATGAAAATGGTGATCTGCTTGCAAATTCCCACAACATTTTGAATAGGTTGAAGAACTACTTATCGGTTATTGAATGTACATAGGGTCAGTGATGTTAGGCAGATAGAAATGCATAAAGCTGCACCATTAGTACCTGATCCTGGCCGTTTTGAGGTTGAAATTGCTATTGTAAAATTTAGAATGTATAAATCGCCAGGTAGTGATCAAATTCCGGCAGAACTCATTCAAGCAGGAGGTGAAATATTATGTTCTAAGATCTGTAATCTAATTGATTCTATTTGGCATAAGTAAGAATTGCCTGATCAGTGGAAGGAATCTATTATTGTACCACTTCACAAGAAGGGTGATAAAACTGACTGTAATAATTATTGTGGGATATCACTACTATAAACTTCATACAAAATTCTATCCAATATTCTTCTCTCAACGACAAGTCCATACATAGATGAAAATTTTGGATCATCAGTGTGGGTCAAATCATAACAGATCAACCAGTGATCAGATTTTTTTCGTTCATCAGATATTGGAGAAAAAATGGGAGTACCTTGTGACAGTACATGAGCTATTCATAGACTTCAAGAAAGCTTATGATTCAGTTAGGATGGAAGTGTTGTACAATATTCTGATAGAGTTTGGGATATCCATGAAACTATTAAGTCTGATTACAATGTGTTTAAATGAAATATATGGTANACAGTTTTCATCTCCAGAGCTGTCAGCACATTTCAAATAAATTTTATATTGGGAATCTAAACTAAAACTTTTCCATGTTAGGTGGGTCCCTTGTCACCATGGTATGGTGCATCCTTGGGTTGCAGATGGAGGAGACACCTCCAGGTATGGAGGGTAGCTGCAAAAATATCCGAACAAGCAGACATGGACAGCCAACAAGGGGTGGTCCTCCAGCTTGGGCATGGGGCTAACATCTCCTTGCCATATAAAAAAGCTTGTTACAAAAATTTGCAAGAAGCCTCAGACCTGAATGGATTCCTTGGATAAACAACTATAGCAAAAGAAAATGGATATGAGATTTGGTACTTGGAATGTTAGAAGTATGTATAGGGCAGTGGTAGAAGATATCTTAAAATATAGGGTAGATTTAGTGGGAGTACAGGAGGTCAGATGGGTTTGAGGTGGCACTGAATCAGCAGGCAAATATACATTTATCTATGGAAATGGGAATGAAAATCATGAATTAGGTANGATAATTTTCCTATCCAGAATGGTCTAAAACAAGGAGATGCTCTATTGACCTAGCTTTTCAACTTTGCTTTAGAATATGANTGGGAGTACAGGAGGTCAGATGGGTTTGAGGTGGCACTGAATCAGCAGGCAAATATACATTTATCTATGGAAATGGGAATGAAAATCATGAATTAGGTAAGGTTTTTTCATACATAAGAGAATCGTATCAGCAGTCAAGAGGGTAGAGTTCATTAGTGATAAGAAGTTATACATAATACTAAGAGGTTGCTGGTGTTATATCATCATTCAGAATGTTCATGCCCCAACAGAAGATAAAATTGATGACATGAAGTATAGGGTCTGCAAAGAACTAGAACATGTATTTAATAAATTCCCAAAGTACCATACGAAAATTCTATTAGGAGATTTCAATGCCAAAATAGGGAGGGAAGATATTTTCAAACCAACAATTGGGAATGGGAGTTTGCACAAAATTAGTAACGATAATGGAGTTAGAGTAGCAAACTTTGCCACATAAAAAAATCTTATGGTCAAAAGTACAATGTTCCCACATCGTAACATTCATAAATTTACTTGGACATCTTCTGGTGGGAAGACACACAATCAAATCGACCATATTTTGATAGATAGGAGATGGCACCCAAGTATACTTGATGTCCAATCATTCAGGGCAGCAGATTGTGATACTGACCACTACCTCGTTGTGGCAAAGGTTAGGGAAAGACTGGCAGTGAGCAAAAAAACACACAGTTGTTCATATGAAGTGGTTCAATCTCAATAAATCAATCGAGGGAGGGTAAAGAGAAGTATCATGTTGAAATCTCAAATAGGATGCTCAAAATTATTAGACCAAAGAAAACAAGCCAAATTGCAATGCTTACAGGACCCAAGCAAAATAAATGGGGATAATCTGAACAATATAAAGAGTGAATCCTGCAGGCATTTCAGGAATAAAAAGAGGGAATATCTGAAAGACAAAATTGATGAGTTTGCAATGAATAGTAAGAACAAGAACATTAGAGACATGCATAAAGCNATAGAGTACGAACTGTTGTGTGTAGAAAGAACAATATCAAAGACATATAAATATATATTGTTTGCACTTAGGACGGAGTTTGTATCATTTATCGTGTAGAGTGCAACAGGATGCTTAAATATAATCATGATAAAGATAGCTAACAGATGCTGCAAATATGTGACAATGTTAAAATATTTTGGAACAACAGTAACAAATCAAAACCTTATTCAGGAGGAAATTAAGAGGAGATTGAATTCGGGTAATGCTTCCTACCATTCAGTACAGATCATCTTTTTGTCTTCTCGTCCACTGCCTAGAAACATAAAAATTAGAATATACAGAACCATAATTTTGCCCGTGGCTTTTTATGGGTGTGCAACTTGGTCTCTGACATTAAGGGGGGAACATAGTTTGAGGGTGTTTGAGAACATGGTGCTGAGGGGAATATTTGTATCAAAGAGAGATGAAGTGACAGGAGTTTGGAGAATGCATAATGAGGAACTTCATAACTTGTACTCTTCTCCAAGTATAATTAGAATGATCAAGTCAAGGAGGATGAGATGGACAAGGCATGTGGCATGAATGGGGGAGAGGAGGAATGCATATAGGATATTGGTGGGAAAGCCAGAAGGAAGGAGACCACTGGGAAGACCAAGACATAGGTGAGTGGAATGTATTAAAATAGATCTTAGAGAGATAGGATGGGATGGATTGGATTGATCTGGCTCAGGATAGGGCCCAGCGGAGGGTTCTTGTGAACACGGTAATGAACCTTTGGGTTCCATAAAATGCTGGGAAGTTCTTGAGTAGCTGCACAATTGGCAGCTTCTCAAGGAGGGCTCAGCTCCATGAGTAACTGAACTAAAATTTGTAAGTTAAATTTCAGTTTAGCAGAGTTCTGTCTTTTTGAATGTCACTTTACTTTACTTGACCAAACTATATGGCCTTATAGTAGGAGCTGCAATAATGTAGTCGGTATAGCAACTGGCTATGGGCTGGATGACAGAGGGGTTGGAGTTTGAGTCCTGGTACGGTCAAGAATTTTCTCTTCTCCATGTCACCCAGACCTCCTCTGGGGCCCACCCAGCCTCCAGCCGAATGGGTACCTGAGGTCTATCCCCAGGGGTAAAGCGGCAGGGGCGTAGAGCTGACCACTCACCTCCAACTAGTGCTGAGGTCAAGAAAATGTGGACCTATACATTCACTTCCCATACGCCTTCATGGCATAGTGCTCAATTAGTTAAGCACAGGGACAACTTTACCTTTAGCTATAAGGCATTATTTTCCAGAAGACAGCACTCCCCATCATCACTGCTGTGAGAACCTCAAATCAAAATTTCACTTCCACTTATTAGTCACTCTTAAGGAAGTTGTTCTGTAAGAAGAAACAGAGAAAACTGATCCACCAGAATGAAGGAGAGAATGATAACATCAAGATAGCTAATGGGTCCTTTGAGAATGTGATTTTCAGATGTTTGGGAATGACCTTGACAAATGGAAGTTATAACAAAAAATTATAAAATTAAATCTGGGAAATGTTTGCCGTCATTCAGTTTTGAATTTTCTGTCTTCCTGCCTGCTATCTATAAAATCTATAAATGTAAAGATTAAAATATTAAAAAAAATAATTTTACCTGTAGTTTTGTCTGGGTGTATCAGGTTGTTATATTAAGGGAAGAACATAGGCTTAGGGTGTTTGAGAACAGAGAGCTGAGGAGAATACTTGGCCTTAACAGAGAGGAAGTAACAGGAGACAGAAGAAAATGGCAAAATGTAGAGCTTCATAATTTGTACTCTTCACCTAACATTTTTAGGGTGATCAAATCAAGGGGAATGAGATGGGTGGGGTATGCAAGAGATGAGAAATGCATACATAGTTTGGTCAAAAATTCTGAAGGAAAGAGACCACTTGGAACACTAAGGCATAGATTGGAGGATGATATTAAAATGGATCTCAAAGAAATAGGGTGGAGGGTAGGACTAGATTCAGTTGGCTCACAATAGGAACCAGTGATAGGACCTTGTGAGGATGATAACGAACCTTCAACAACAAACCAAAGGATGGAAGTGGCAGAGTATGAAGGTGATCATTCACCTACTTCCATAGTACACTCACAGTGACCGTTAAGTAGATATACACATAAATACAGACAAGGCAGATGGTGGAAAACGTGGAAAACCATGTTCAAAACAGGCTGACAGTTGCAAAATAGGTGGTCAGCATTTTATTGTTATCAGCCTGCATGTCTTTATGCACTTCGTTGTCATTTTTAATGAAGTATAGTTTATATGGGGGTTTAGCCACAGGGTCAGGGTAACCTTACAGTATCTTTGGTTACAGAAGAGGAAAAGTACCAAATTTGTGCACGTGGAGGACCCCGTATAACAAGGATGCAAACAGGATCCCTGCCTGCTGCTTCTCCTAGCGGTACTGCTTCCACAGAGAGCAACACACTTTCTAGGAGACCACGTTCACTGGTAATTAGAGAAAATTATATGTACCATTCTGTCTCTCTGAGCAATTTTACCCATGTATAATGAGCCTGCTCAAGCCTTAAAATCACTTCCCAGAATATCTGCATTGTCATTGTGATATGGTCAAGATGGGTGGTGATGGAAAACAGAAACATTTACGCCATAGGGAGGATGTGAACCCACAGACCCATTGTCTGTTCAGTATAGAACTATGCATACCCTGAAGTGTATGGTGAATCCGAATTGGTATGTACCAACAAGAAAAGAAATTACAAGTGCCAGAAAACAAATTTCTAACAAAAAATGTATTTCTGCTTCTCTTATTCCTTTAAAGCACAGTGATTACTAAATTAATCACCTGCTTTGACATTAGAAATATCAACATTTTGTTCACACAACGCATTTATGTCCCACATATGATTCTCCAACAAATAATGATTATTTTCCTAACAGCATTAAGTGATCAGGGTGTGTAATTGACACATGCTGTTTTGTGTTTTGTAAAAGGTGAATTTTCAAATCTTATGTACATGAACTTAATCTTTATAGGGTTAACATGTCCTTCAGTCATTCCCACCCATCAACATTCCTCAAAATTGTGATTTCCCTTACTTCAAGTTTCTCTTTACACATATGTTAACCCAGGTTCAAACTATGATTTCTATCTCTTCTCTGTTCAATATTACATTCTTTTCATAACATATTCTTTCATCTTTATTATCAGCATCCTGTTGTGCAATACAGTGTGTGATTTTTTTTGGCCATCAACTCAACTAATTTTTTCAAACAAAACCAATCCCATCTTGGATTGGTTTTGTTAGGGTGGGGAAAAATTACTGTCTCGACAGCCCAAAAAACATATATTCTTACATATTTATCCGTTGACTTCATTTTTACCACTGCCTTTTCCATTTCAATACATAAGAAATTCATTCATTTCAGTTTCACTGTCCAGACACACACACACACACATGCACACAGTATGGGACCCTGTATTCAGAATCCCAAAATGTGGAAGGTCCTCCTCCCATTTTTTAAACTGGTGGATACAGGAGCCACAGTAGTGTAAAAGATGAATTATAAAGAGGTGAGAAGGCATGGGCAATGTATCCTGAGAAATTTTGTTTGCTAGTTGACATAGGTTGTGGACTGATCCAGAAAACCTTTGTTCCCAGGTTTTTCCAGATAATGGTTCCCATACTGTATATATTGTACTCCTATATATGCTGTGGTCTGTTGCTATTCTCAGAGTTACAATATTACTCTTCTTCATACCAAAATCTTTCACTTTTGTAGCCCATTCTTTTCATTTTGCTTCAAAATCACACAACTTGAGAATGAACTGCCTGAAATGCAATCAATATTATCTGTAAACATCCCAACAACATGTACTGAATTTAGTTGTTCTGTTATTTGCAGAATATGAAATCTCGTATACGGAACCGAATGTCAGATATCCATCAGGAGGTACGGGCATGGTTATGTGGCTGGGGACCACCTCTGGATGAAGCCCAGGCCCATAAGCTAATAGCTGAAGTGCAAGGAATCCAAAAGAATATTTTATCACCATCACAGTTTGGTGAATGTGGAAATTTGAAGGTATGTTCAGACACAGTCATGGTACCGGGTTTAAGACCTGTGCAAGTGAAGTTTTAGTTCAAATTATCAGATTTATCAAGATTGTTTTGTTATACAGTGGAACTGCCATTTAATATTCTTTGATTTGAGGGTTTCCCTATTTTAACATTCACAATCAGTGATTCCAAGTCAGTAATCTCAGCACTAAATCTCCTCCATTCAAATTTTCCTAAGTTTACTGTTCCAAAATTCACTGATCCCAGAAGAAACATTAAAAGGGGGTTTCACTCTATATTGTATAGGGAGGATATTTCGGAGGATGCAAGAAGTTCCACTCCATGATGTAAGAGTTGGTGCTTGGTACACCCTGAGTGTGAGGAGTATTATGGATCCTGTATTTTATGCAGACCCTAGATTCTGAGATATATGTGAGGCAGACAGTGAAAATGGAACAATGGCCTTCTCACTGTGATGCTGATCTGTTTACACTTCCTGCTGTCATCAAATATACACTCACTGTTTTTGAAAGGTGTGTTATCTGTGTTCCACTGTAATCACACAGTGTCCTCAAGGGTTATAATATGTATAACAGTGGATCATAGAAAGGTTCTGTATGGAAATCACTGTTAAAAATCAGAACTGCCACATTTTCTCACTGAATTTTCATTGGAGATTTCATTGGCGTAATACTGTAACTTGAAACAACAACAATATGCATTTATGCTATAAATGACATATTGAATCATACTGAACTGTATACCAGGTTGTAACCACAGAAGGCATAAAGAGAGAGAGAGAGAGACTGCAGTCTCTGTGAGAATTATGTGAGAAATGTTAACATTTTAACCAGTATACTATGAGGGTGGTTCGAGGTTGACCTGAACTTTATTCTTTTACAAAACGAATATACTTGCCACAGGCACAACACACTCATTTCTTTTCAAGATATTCTCCCTTTACACTATCACATTTTTTCATTGTCCTGACAAGTGGTGCCAGCATGAAAGGTTTAGCCCTGACTGCGTGACACTGCATTTGAATTCATCATCAGTTTGAAATTGCTGTCCTCATAAGTTCACCTTCACTGGCCTGATTGTTGCCAGTGGTGCCTTCATCAAATATGTCATATGTGGATGCAGTAGGATGAAATCTCACAATTTCCCAGGTCTTTTCTTCCAAGTCACGTAGCACATATTATGGCAAAGCTGGTTACTGTAATACTATGCATTAATTTCTATACGGTGTGAAAGAAAATTAATGTGAATCACTTCTGCTGAGTCCTAAACCACACTTGCCATGATCTTGCCAGCTGACAACCGTGGCTTGAATTTTTTGGGTGGTGATTCCTTCTGACACCATCCCATGTTGGACCACTTTGGCTCTGATGTGAAGTAGTGCACCCATGTATCGTTACAGGCCACTGTTCACTCTAGGAATGTTTCCCTCCAGTTCAAACTTGGGCCAGTGTGCAGCAGACATAGCAACATGATGCACCTTCTGATTGAATTCCAACATATTTTGGACCCAGTTTGCATGCACTAACTTGAATGATAAGTGTTCATGGATAACTGTTTCAACACTTCCAATACTTATGCCACTGTTGGATGCAATATCTTGTACAGCAGTTGGCTGAATGTGAGCATGCAGTAGGTTCAAGACTTCTTTATGGCCATTAAACTTACTGTACCAATCACAGACACCTGCCTGTGGCAGGGTCTCCTCCCCATACTCTGCAGTTAACTTATGCAGACTTTCTTAAGGTTTCACACTCTTTCACTAGAACTTTGGTTACACAGTGCTGTTCTACACTAGGAGTGACAACATCTGACGCCATCTTCTACTAGCTTTAATGCACAGGTGTGTGGCCACCTGCCAGGCAGTGAGTGCATTGTTGACACCAGCTGTCCCCTGGCGTCCATGTCTTGAGGGGAAAAATGAAGTCCAGGTTAACCTTGAACGACCCTAGTGCAATACAAGAACCAGAAATAACAAATTTGTTTCCTTTGTTAACAGCAACATGAAGTAGAAGAGATTTCTCAAGTCTGTGAAAAATTGCTGCTTCAACTGCAGTCAGCTTTAACAGAGTCCAGCATGCAGAAGCAGGGAACTACAGACTTGTAAGTATGAAGCATGAAGCTCCATGAACTTAGTTAACCCATTGTGCAGCAACTGTGTCAGGTAATGGCAATCTATACTTGGCCAAAATGTCTGTTGCCTGTAATAGTTTCCACTTGTCCATGGCATTATTTTCAACTTTTCTGTCAGAGATGGCAGGGAGATAGCCATTATGTATCGTACTCGTAGCAAGCTGGCTAGAGCCATTCAAAAGTATTCTGGCAACGGTAGGATTAGAGTTGTGGTTACAAAAGTAACATGTGCTAGGGAGAGTTTTGAAGAAAACTGGAGTCAAAGTAGATAATGTGAATGATTACTTCATCTTTTATCACTACTGCCTACACAATTGAACAACAAAATATAAAATTATCATGTTTACAGTGTAAATGAATTGTCCACATACACCTATCATGTGGTATCAGGCATTAATTTCCAGCGAACTATATGAATGGGGGCACATGGTAGCATAGTTCGTTGAGGCATTGTGCTACAAGCCAGAAGGTTGCAAGTTCGATTCCCAGTGAGGTCACTGGACTTTTCAATTGGTCTAATCCTTCCAGCCACACTATGGTCCTGGGGTCAACTCAGCCTCTAACACAAATCTTCATAGGAGGTAAAGAGTGACCAGCACATAAGGCTGACCACCTCACCGCCATCTGTGAGCTGATTGTCTAGAAAATGCGGGAGCCTCAGTATCTCATAACCCTATGGGCCTCCACGACTTGTTACAGGGAGAGATTTATCTTTTTTACCTTACCTGTATGTACAGTCAAGTGCTGTCCTTTCAGTGTTAAAGTTGTTTTGTAAGTCTGTGCTTACAAGGGACAAGTGCACTTTCTCAGAATATGCTGATATGCACTTAATTCTCAGCAAAGCCTGTGGTAATGGTGCAGCATCCGTAACATTGTATGTGGAGAGGTATCCTCACTGTAGACTTGTGAATCAAAGCACATTTCACAAACTGTCACCCTTCTACAGTAGACCACGGAAGTAGTGAACAAAGTTGATGTAGAATAACACATACTGAGATACATGTATGAGAATTCCCATACCCATGTTCATTGAATACAAGCTGCTGAACGTACGGCAAACATGGCAGTGTGGCAGGTTCTCCATGAACAGTTGCTGTACCCATACCATTTGCAATGGGTACAAGCTCTATGTCCGCTTGACTTTCACCGATGCCAAGAATTTTGCTAGTGGTTCCTTCAACTATGTCGAAAAGATCCCCTCTTTGGCAGCTGTGTACTCTTTACTGACAAAGAACGCTTTACAAGGAACAGCACACTAAATTTCCACAATGGGCATATTCAGAGTGATGTAAACCAACACAGTTCAATTCACTCGAAAACAGGTGTTCTCATAAAATGTTTGGGCTGGTATTGCTGGGGACAGTTTCAGGGGCCCATACTATACTCCAGTTTCCTTTAGAAGTGTCCCTAGCATATGTTACTTTTGTAACCACAGTTCTCATCCCATGGCTGCCATAACACCTTTGAATGGCTCTAGTTCGTTACTAAAGCCCTTCCAGACCTATCAGAGCCACTGACATTCTTATTACATAAATAATGAATAAAGAAATTTCTCAAAAATCACCGTATTAAAACCAGCACTTTTTCCCCTAAATAGTTTTCTGATGCTTCCATGTTCAGTTTTAGCACCAGGGTCAAAATATATAATGGACAATCTGATGAGTGATTTTGAACAATTTGCCAGTTCACATTTCTGGCTTGTATCTGGGAGGTAATTGGTTTGAATATTGGCCAGGAAAGCAACTATATTTATTGATGAGGTTTTGCGTGGTTTCTGTAAGGCCCTCCAGGCAAATTCTTGGATAACGGAAGTACAAGATGATGACCTCAACCCCTCTACCAGAATGTGAGGATCATCCTCTCTACTTTCATGTTGGTAGTGGGATGTCTTCAGCCTCCCTTCAGACAGCTGTGGCACATACCTTCCTGCTGCCACACATCAATACAGCTTCACATGTGAGGCCTTGCCTTTATACATACTCATTCTGACATTTACTTTCAACAGGAACTTGGAATGTGAAGGTCACTGCTGCTATTCGGATGTGGAAACTGATGCCAGTGACGAGAGGTTCAGCCAAGTTAGTGATTATTCTGAAATACTTGGGTCAGAAAAAGTCTCTTCTGCAGCTTTACCCATGACACAACATAGAATATGCTCTGAAACTGTTAGTGAAAATCTAACTTCTGAACCATCAGACACAGCCATAGCATTTCATGCATTACATACAAGTGGGGACACTTGTTGTGAAGGTGCAAATACCAGTTGCAAAACAACTCAACAAATGCTGGCACATTTATCATGTACAGCTAAACAGAATGAAACTAGAATCAGCACTGCTACAAAGCGGGTTAATTTTGCACCTTCAACACGAGACCCACGTTTACAATCACTGTCATATGGCAATCACTTGGTCAAAACCAAAACGAGTCTTACCAGTTACATATGTGAAACTGATACACAATCAACTCACTTCTCTATTGATCCAAATCTTCAACAAGAATCTTCAGAGCAAATCACAAGACCTTTACATGATAGACTTTGTGACTCTTCAAACCAGATGCAATCCACAGATATGTTCAGCACTCAGAGCACTTCTGACTTCAGACAGAGAGAAACAGGACAGAATGTGCATTCACAACTATGGTCGAGCAAGAATATAAATGTGTTATCCAAAAGTCCAATTTGTCCAATTAACATCAATGAAAATAAAACACATGATTTACCTGATGTGACAGGCGTAATGTGTATGACCATATCAGGTACTACAAAAAAACAAGCCAAAAATTCAAGATTCAAAATGAATATGCAGGCCAGCACACAGTCACCTACTGACATGTGCTCTTCAACATTAGAGAACGTGCTGCAGGTCAACAATAGAACTGAAGGACATACAAATCAAAATGGAAGACAGAAAGAAAGTACAGCTGTCATAAAAAATTCTGATGATATTATTGCATCCAGCCTGAATGTTAGAAAAGGTGTTGATATATCTCAGAGTACCATTAAAAGTCAAACCAGACACAAAGTTGAATCAAGACTTAAATCACTGTCCAATGAGGGTAGTCAAACAACGCAAAATATATCAAAACCAACAGTTACCAGCACACACAGAAAGCAGGTGGAAAATTTGCAATCATTAAGTACACCTCAGAAGTTCAGAAGTGAACAACAGTGTTCAGAGTACTCTGGTTTAACGCAAAGCCTGATGACACAGTCAGAGGAAGAATCATTTATTTTTGGTATCAAAAGAATATGGCTACATTCTGCACCAGAATTTGTTCCGAACTGTCAGCTCCCTGAAGGGTTTTGGAGGAACAAAGCTACTCCAATTCCAGAAGATCTGTTACAAGCTTTGGAAAACTGGTAAAAAGTTAGAAATAAATAGTGCTGATCATATCAGGTATGAAAAGTAACTGCTGTATCACCAGACTGAACAGTGTTAATTACCAAAATATACTGAGCTTCTATGCTGTTGTGACAAGCAAGCATGTAAATTAATTCTTCTTGTACATTTCCTCATTTCCCACTCACAGCATGTGGCATGTGTCCATGGATGCATTGTGAGCATGCAGGGCACACTTCATGGGCAGTCCTGCTGTCCAGCCTGGCAGTAGTCATGGACACTCAGACATCAATAGTCATAAGACATCTCCTATCCATCCCTCAGCATGCAAACTGTTAAACAGCCGTCCTTATCCAACATGCTGGGTGCATAACAAGGGGACAGTGTGTATTCTCATATGAGCAATCCCTCAAAGCAGGAAACATGCATTCAACTCGCTTCAGAATTATTCATGGGACTTGAGATGCTAAGGAATGTGGCATCCTTCGCTATCTGGCAAGGTGCTCTTCTTCACTTGCCATTATTCATGTGTCACTGTATGTGTATAATTTTTCAAATCTGGAATTGTTACCAATTTCTGATACATGAAATTCAACATCTCATATATCTTCTCTATTTGAAATTCTTGATGTCACAACCTTCCACTCCCCATCTGTCCAAAACGCTTGAATCTTAACAACCATTTCTGATACCAGTGTCATGTGTGACTACACATGTGGTTTGGACTGGAAATTGGATTTACTGAACTCTCACAGGTCAAAGGTACGAGTAATTATAAGGTCACTAATTAATGCGCTCAACTTCTCACTACAGCACATGCTAAGCCTTCTCAGTTTTTCTTCACTGTATCTGTAACAGGCTTAATACTGGGATAGTGAAAATATTGTCAACACGACAATCCTTTAAAAGGTATACAAAGGGGGACCCAAAAATAATTTGTTCCTCGCTTGCTCGGAGATGACCAAAGAGAAAACCGCGTGAATGTTTGCCGCGACTTGAAGAGTGAAGTGCAGTTTTCCCTAACAGAAAGCAAAATTTCATGCACACTCTTTGTTCCTTCTGGTCGGCCATCTCACTAATCGCCAAAGGGTTGAAACAGGAACGGACACAACAGAGCACCACAGACAAACCACTTAACTCAGACTGACGCCAGCTCACTAACAGTCGCGGGAGATCCCCAGCTAACACCACCTAGGAGCACAACTCGTAACTACAAAGCATGCGCGCGCAACAGGTCGTTTCCAGTTATTTTTGGGTCCCCCCTCGTACAAATGAATGTTTACATTAAAGACATAAATCTTAAAGGCACATGTTTCGACCCTTGTTGGGTCATCATCAGGTGTAGGTTAGTGTTAAGGTACTGAACTTGTACCCAATATGGATCCATAATATGGGTTGTCTACTTACTATACAATATCACACTTGTAAGAAGACACTCAGGATTATGTACTACTTGAAAACAATCGGGCTGAGACTGGGTGAATCATTATGCATTCAGTTAAATGTCAAATTAAAGCTAAAATTAAATATTATTAAAAATAAAATGACAATATATAGGTATATATTATTTCTCAGAAGTGAAAAAGTTGTCTGTTCCCCTTATTGTTCACAAAGCACATAGAACTGTGGAGACAAATGACTTCCTAAGTATTTATACATATGATGATTGTAACACATACAAAAGTTAAAAAAGACCTGTTACATCTTCTCTGTCATGTCCACTTTCTAAGCATCTTCCTCTTCTCGGCTGATATATTATTTTTTTCAAATCCTACCAGAACTCAGTGATTATAATTTGGCTTACACTCACCCTTTTTCCAGACATGGAAACACTGCCCACTCATACTTCTGGTAATAGTTACAAATACTGAACAATCTTGTGTTGTTTTGTGAAAAGACATTCGCTTTATATTGTATGTGTTGTAATGTATTTATTGTTCATAAGTGAAAACATTAAAGTAACAATACATAATATAGAAAAAATCATTATCATTCGATGAAATATTGAAAAAGGTAGCCAAAACAAGAGAGATTAATATACCAATCAAATTGCTCAAGTAGTAGTATGATAGCCATGTTCATCAGAATCACAAGTCATGCTTTATACTGTGAAGCTGTGATGTTCAATCAACTGCACAATTTTATCAGTCACTGGAACTCATGACTAAAGTCATATGGAATTGGACGTTGTGCTGTCTGGTAGATTACCAACATTTCTGCAGGACACAGATGACTCCTCTGAATTTCTCATTCCCACAGCACTGCTGTATTAATATTCACTGTTGTGATAATTTTAAATAACTGTCCAAAATTATAGACAATTGTGTTAGCATTCCTATCTCTGGTTTGCAGTGAATCCTACCTAGTCCTTCTGGACAAATGCTGGAACAGTGGCTTAAAACAGGTCAAGGCCACCTTCTCCCACTTCTCAATTCATAATTCACAGTCATCCTGTCACATAACCTATGCAGTGGTTATAGAAACATATAATGGGACTCTAGCACAAGGTGGTATCTTTCCATACAGCAGAACTGTTCCATCACTCTTAATGTGCCCATTACCTTAGAGTCAGAATAACTGTCACACACACATGCACACACACACGCACACACACACATGAACTGTACCTCAAGAGTTAATGAATTCTACTGAACTATGATCACTATCAGTGAAGAGTAATTCAGTGACCCAAACTGTGAGCAATGATATTCTTTGTCCCTTATTCATGACCCAACAGCAAAATATGAAGTTGAAATTAAGTAAAGTGTTCCATGTTTAGTGTACTGTATAAGAGGAGGAGAGGGCTAATGTTTCCATTTGAAAAGCAATGAATTGTTACTATGAATATAATATTAAGAATTATTAATCTCTTTTGTTTTGTGGTACACCTTCAAACCAGACCTTATATAAAATATTATTTAGCTGTGAAATCAATAACATTTCAATATAACGAGATTACAGACTTTGCCAATGTATAAATCAGTGCTCTTCTCAAACACTTAATACTGCTTCTAGCAAAAAGTACAGGATGATTCATCCAGAGGAGGCCCTGAATTAAAATTATAAATCATACAATAATTTACTGATGAAAATAAAACTTGGCAACACTGACTTGCTGCCTGGCTGGTTTGTGCAATTTCTTTCAGTCTGATTCCATGTATTATGCAGTGGAATGCTGATTGCAACATTCACAGTCATGGAGCCTTATACTGCCCAGTCTCTCCAGAAGGAGGGAAACCAGTTGTCTCCACATTTACCAAGATATGTACTGGCCAAATTTATTTTTCAGCACTAAACTAATGTGTGATCTATGATTTATAATTACTATTTCAAGGCCTCCTCTGAATGAATCACTGTTTACCATCATCTTGTCAGTATATAAATTATCATGAATCACACAACAAAAACACGGGGCTTTTTAGAATGTTGGATACATTATATAACTTTCATTATCAATCTCAGAATTTTACAGACTAGAGTAATATTATATAAATTAATTAGACAATACAGTTTGAACAGCCTCAAAGATTATAATAGAAAATTTTTACAAACAGGGCCATAAGTAAATCCATAGGAAGTAGGTCTTGAAGTAAGAAGACAGACGATTATTCTCCCACTGTGCCTATAAAAGAGTAAAAGAGATCACTATCTCTGTGATCTGCAGTTATGACTCATTATGAAATTATGGCACAGATAATTGATGATGAATAATGTGTAGTTTCTGTAACATTTCCAAAGTATAATATTCAGTAGGATAAAGTACACCAAGAAGCAAATATCATGTATATAGTCTGATGTTGGCTGATAAAATCAGATTCCCAGAAGCTACAATATTTAAATCCTAAAGGTAATTGAATGAATCTGACACTTGATACAGTGCCTATTCTCGTTATATATCAACCAGAACAGTAAAATGAATTTAACAGTCTTGGCATTGATTCACAATAACTGTACTTACACAATATCCAATATGGGAATATGAAGTCAAAGATACCACAGTGGAATACAAATGAAATATTTTTCAGATATTTGTTAAATTACACATAAGCACTTTTTTTAAAAAAGGTAAGACATAAACGCTGAAAAAGCATTGACATTCTGAACATTGCTAAATTCTGGGAAAGAAATAAATAAAATATTATAGTACTGAAAAAGGACTTCAGTTAGTAACCTTATTCCTAATAAACCATATCCAGTGTGCAATTAGCACATTAGCTGAAGTTTAAAATATTTTGCAGAAGTAATATTCATAATTCAGTCCTATATTATAAAATTACTGTTACACTGGTTTGGAATTACAAAGTAGTATGTGATACATGTGTAGCATAAGGCAGAGAAGAACAATGTTACATTGACCATAAGTAGGCCTATTAGAAACAAGTGAATAAGCAAGAAGAGAGAACTTGAAATGGACAACCTTGCACTGTAAGCTCTGTTTCAGTCCAGCTGCATGTCCAGAATATTTCCCATTGCAAAACTGGTCTGATTTCTTTAAGTTTGTTATTTAGTGATGCTGTCAATAATTGAGACTATATCATGTATAGCATTGATTGATGGGAGGATTAATGGGTGAGGTGCAATTGGTGAGATGAGAACTGGCAAGGGAAACTAAAGTACTTGGAGAAGACCCTCCACAGAGTCCCTGTGTCCACCACAAATCCTACATGACCAGACCTAGGCCACTGATGAATTGCCTGAACTGTGGCATGGTCCTAATTGACTGTGTTTTCTCAGTGTTCTTGATACTTCAAAATCTATGATAACAGAAAAGTGTTGGAAAGTCTCATTTTAAAACATCATATGGGCATAAAGTGCATTTATGCCTCTCCCCTCCCAGATCTACAAAGTATGAACACAGAAACATGGGACACATAACAAGCACAAAGCTGTATCATATGTATTCCTTGTTATGTGCACCCAGGATGTCTCTGTGTTTGATACATGACCTAAACTGTTTTAACACAAAGGAGAGGGAGGGAGGAAGGGAGAGAAGAATGATGGGATGGACAGAAATAAAGGAAACAATATTCACCAAGAGACAAAACCTCTGTATGCCCTAAAATGTCAAAGGCAAATGAAACAATAGCCTGATATTCTTAACGAGCATACATTATTGCAGTCTTATGTTTTTGTGTTGGTGTTTAAACTCTTACACTCTGTTTTGTCTGAACAATAACAAAAGAATAAACTTTTTGTTCAACTGTCAATGAGCATTATACTAGCGTACTAAAAGAAAAAGTTGTTCCTGTGCTTAACTAAGCATTATACCATGAAACCGTATGGGGAGTGGATGTATAGATCCATATAATCTTGACCGCAATACTAGATGGAGGTGAGTGGTCAGTTTCAAACCTCAGTCCCCTTACTCCTGGGGAAAGTGCCCCCAGCACCCATCAGACATGAGGCTGGGTGAGCCCCAGAGTCTGTGTCTGGACGATGTGGAGAGGAGAAAAATCTTGCATCAACAGGGACTCGAATTCCAATCCCTCAGCCACTCAGCCTGCAGCCAATGTTTATACCGACTGCACTATCCCGGCTCTCTTAGTGCACTAATACTAATAGGTTCTGAAAAAGTAAACTGACCTGCCTGAAACTTGATACTAAGGACATTCCTGATACAGTTTTCTAAATTCGTCCTTCAATAATTTTCGCCTCATGGACTTTATACAGGCTGAAGGTGAGCAAGTCTATCAATCAAGCTACCTTTGAATCAAATCTTGACAGGGAAACCAACTCTCCTGAGTGAGGTTTTTCGTGCATTTCCTTAGTCTCTCCAGGCAGATAACAGGATAGTACCTAAAATTAAGCTGTGACAGCTTCCTTACTCATCCATTCTTAATTCATCATTCCCTAATCCTGCCCTTCAACACTATACAGCCCAAGATGCTGACAGCATTGTTAAATAAAACACAAATATATAAATATAACATTCTGAAATTCTGTAATAAGTTTGCATCTGAAAAGATGAATTC